GCGCCCTCCAGGTGCACTATAGGCCGCCCTTGAAATCGGCACCCTGGAAACGAAAACACCCTGGGGCCCCGTTTCGTGGCCCGGACAGATGTATCTGTGGCCGTAATTGCCATCAGATACATTTATCCGGGTTCGTAGATGTGTCCAGGAAAGTGCTAGTGTGAGTATGCCCTCACAGTCCTCACTATCAACGAACTTTTAAACAGAATATCAGATCTTATTTCTTTGCTGGCACATTTCGTTTGCAATCGATTAGCCAAACCAACGATCTTCCATTTCAAGCAGAAGGTGCACTTTCGCTGGGACAAAAGAATACCCCTACTTTCCCATGCGGTGTACCAAGGTCGGTCCCGGTTTTTCGTTTTCCCCTCCCATCCCCCCCCAATCCTTTGGGCATTTGACATTATCATGTGCGAAGTGTATGCAGCGGCCATAAGGATGCCTGCACAATTCAATCAACACCCACGCCCACTCAAATTGCAGTTTAAACCGCCAGTTCTTCCGGAAGTCACGCCTCGCATGTGGCGAGCCATTGCTACAGTAGCGCAGTGTTTCCACTTCATGAATTTATGTCAGCGCCCCAGGCCGGGCATGCCCGTTCGTCCCAGCACGTCGTGCTGCACATGCGGCCGTGACTTTGGGAAGAAATGCTGGTCTGATGAAGCTAAGCACACCTACCGTCTTCCCCCGAACACAACACACCCTCATTTTGGCTGTATCTGGCCGGAAATGTAACTCGTATACATTCATTTTTAGGGTTCGTTATGTTCGGGGGAAGACGGTAGTGTGTCTGTTGTACATACCCTTCGAGCCTTGGTGTTGCCCACCTCTGAAATACCAAACCATCATGAGCAACTTAGAGCAAGAGCATGCTTGGGGACAGTGGGAGCCACCAGTACCTCCACACCTCTTTTTTTCCAAGTGGTGATTTTGCCCCCCCCCCGCCCCCCCCCCCTACAATACTCGACCACTGCAGGAAAAGGGCCAGATTGGCGCTCTTATGGCCCTCTGCCATCAGTCTCTTTGCTCGAGCAGGCCAAGTGACTCGACTGTTGCCACAGCGAAGTGCTAACAACTGCTTTCTCACGGGTAGTGGTTTTGATCAGTAATGTCCAACCTTGGATCCATCCATGCACACACGGAAACAAGCCGGTACCCTTCGCCACAAGAGCCAAGTCCCATGACACGACGTACAAAAGGGGAACCATAAGGTAAAGAAAGGGAATCAGAATGTAAGGACATCATCATATCTGATTCAACAAAAAAAGAAGTCCAATGGCTGCTGTTTCTTGACCTCTGCCTTTCTTTGAAGTTTCAACATCGACATCAACGTCAACATCAACATAACTATTAAATTGTGAGGCAGGCCTCGGGAGATGCACCCTCCGGGACCGGCAAACATGAGGCCCATGCGGCCGTTGCACGGGACATGCTGTGTTCCACGGAGTGCTGGGTGGCAGTTTTTTTTTTTTTTTTTTGTACAGGCGTCGTTAGGCCGAGGCTAGCTGGCACAGAGATCGTCATCAGCGAAAAAAATATGGAGCAGCAACTTTGTCATGGCCTGAGTTCAAAAAGGCGGTTGTAACTCGGGCAGTGGAGTCAGGGCGGTAGTTCCTAATAGGCACTTGTGTTCCATCGGTACCAGTCCGTTCCCAAGTATTCTGCTACCGGCCTGTCCCACTTTTTTTAGGCAGAGCACGGGACTAGTTACCAGCCTTTACCGTTGCTGGAGACGGCCGAGCCGGGTGAGTGCACAGAGAGAGAGAGAGAGAGAGAGAGAGATTGAGCGTGTGTGTGTATGTCTGAGACGCGCTCGTGCGCCCCCCTCCCTGCAACCCGCAACCCCCCCGCCCCCAACTCGTGTCCTCGTCTTCCTTTTTCCAACGAAGGGTGCACACATGGTGGACACGGAGGGCAGGCATGTCTGCGTGGCTGTGCGGCGGTACGTGCGCATGAGCGCTTACTAGTTGCTGCTTGCTGGATGGTCATCACAGTCATCTCTCTCTCTCTCTCTCTCTCTCTCTCTCTCTCTCTCTCTCTCTGTGTGTGTGTGTGTGTGTGTGTGTGTGTGTGTGTGTGTGTGTGTGTGTGTGTGTGTGTGTGTGTTGTGAGTGCAGCGAACCCTCATTATGGCTGTATAGTGCCGGAAGGAGAGCTTTACATAACCAGTGTACACAAGCTATCCTTCCAGCCTGATACAGCCATAATGAGGGTGCGCTGTGTTCAGGAGGCGCACCCTCTCTCTCTCTCTCTCTGAGTGCGTGCACTCGTGCATGCCACAAAGAGAGAGAGAGAGAGAGGGCAGGGGCGCACCTGCCACGTTCCTCTGACCGCGACCCTGCACTTCACACCGCCGTGTTCTATCCTCCACAGGGCGGAGGGGGCAGGAGGGAAAGGGGATGACAAGACAAGACGCGGAAGGGGGACTGGGGGATGGAGGGAACGGGAATGGCAAAATGGGGTGTGGGCCTCCTTCGAAAACGGACGCTCCTCATTGCAATGGCCAGGTAGCTGGGAGCAGACTGCTACGGGTACCCTTCCAGCGAAACGGCCTGGGACAGCCCGGGAAGGCAGACTGTTACGGGCACAAGTTCCAGCCTGGGACATCCTGGGAAGACCTGGGACCCATCGGGACAGTCGTACAGGCCTTTTCGAACTGTGGGCCTGCTATTACCGCTTGGCCCTGTTTTTTTTTCCCTTTTCGAACTGCTACCATGTCTTTAGTGCCAGTTTGTGTTTTTTTTTGCCTTTTCAAACTCTAAATCTACCGCATCCGCCGTTGTTTCTTTATTTTTTTTTGGCCCGGCCGGGCAAGTGGCCCCCGGGCCGCTCTGGTAGCCTAGACAGTGCTACCATACCAAGGAAAATTCAGAGATCCCGTAGTAAGAACAGTCCTGTCCAGACCCATAGATTTCATATTTCCAGATTCGTCCAACTTCGTATTTCGGAAGCATGAACAGTATATTGAAATACATTTGTACTCGTTTTTTCTTCTTTTTTTTTTTCTTTTTTTTTTTTTTTTTTCAGTTCTGTTGGTAATTTAATACTAATAATGGAATGTAATCATTATCTACCGGGCTAAGTCCTGTGGCACCTGCCGGGCCGCCAAGCCCCTGTTACATGGCGGGCACTACTGCTGCCAACTCCTTTAACATTGTCGCTAGACTGCCAGTACCACATTCCTGTCCTCTCATCCCGAGTGTGTAGCCTGGTCGTCCGGTCCCACTTGGGACCAGAGTGGGACCAGAAGACCGTATCGGTTTGTCCTGCTACCGTCTTCCCCCGAACACAACGCACCCTCATCTTGGCTGTACCGGACCGGAAATATAGCTTGCATACGTTCAATTTCAGGGTGTGTTATGTTCGGGGGAAGACGGTAGCTTCACCACAGAACCTCTGGTCCCACTTGGGACCAGAGTACGCTCTGTCTTCCAACTCGCATTTCTGGCATGCAGGATGGACAGGATTCCAGAAGGGTGGGGCCAAGTTCGAGGACGGTGGTTTGGGGTTCGGGGGGGGGTACACTGTATATGGAGGTGCAGCTGAGGAGATTAGGGGCAGTGCGAGGTGGTGGGCCGAGGCTTACCCTAAGCCTGGATGCAAACAAGGTTTAGCGTTAAGTTAACCATGTGACCTGCAAACAAGGTTTAGTGTTAAGTTAACCATGTGACCCACTAAGACTTTCTCAGAGGTTTGCGGTGAACCCGCAATGCACTGGCATCACCTGCGTTAACCCACCAGTACTCCCCACCAGTACTCTCCCTGCCATTCCCTTCCCATTCGCTGTATATAACTGCAACTTTTGGTGTGGCAGGCTCGAGCTTCATCAAACTACCGGATCTCTTTGGCGGGCAACTGCCACACCGGTCGATATTTCTCTGGCGTGAAGTACCAATCCACCTCGGGAAAAAGAGGCTCAGTGATAGTGGTGATTCAAGGAATCAGGAGAAGGTGCTGTTGTTTTATGAAACTTTTTTCCTCAGGCTTTCTTCCAGGGGGTCGTCATCATTCCATTACCATAAGCACTGGCCCTAGGATGACAAGGACCGCGCAGCACAGCGGGCGTGTCCAACACCACCCTGCTCCCACAAACATCATTTGAGCCGATCCACTGCCGCACTGGTTCTGCACATCCCACCACTCCTCCATTCATTTCCAAAACTAATCTTAAGACACCATGAGCAGCTGGGTGTCGAGGTCCAAAAGTGAAAGTCAAAAACAAGGAAAGGAAAGGAAGGAAAGCCCCACCTGTTCATCACCTCTTACGTACAAGACCAGCCACATGGATGACAGGTTGAGCCCTGGCTGCCCCGATCCCCATGTGTCACAAGGACCCACTTGCACGCAGCCAAAAGGCAAAAAAGAGGTAAAGAAGAGGCGGAGGAAACCAAACCTCACAGAGGCAAGAGAAAGAGAAAGGTCAAAGAAAAGACGAAGGAAAAAAGCAAATGACACATCCCACAGATAAACCAATTGCCACTGTCAGTCTGTCACTACAAAGTTCAACATATTTTTTTCTTTTTTTCTTTTTTTTGTTTTCTTTTTTCTTTTCTCCAGAAATTTGTACTTTTTTTCTTTCTTTCTTTTATCTGTCCTACAATTAGTGCTGCTCCCCACGAATAGATTGGAGTATTCATTTATATATAAAAAAAAAAAAAACTTCTCAGTGTTGCTCCTGATCGCTTGATTCTATTGACCAGTTAGGAAGAGGAGCCCCCACCCTGGCATATAGGACAGGCACGCTGAGGATGACGTGGATATTCACAAGGATACCCAAGGAGAGCTACTTCGGCACGGCATTCAAAAGGAAGGAGACCCTGAACAAGAAGGGCCTTGCAAACCCTCCCGACCTTCAGAATGACGCAGGCGACAAAAAAACAGATTACACATCCCTCACCCAAAAGGTCAATTGTGATGCTTTCCGAAAAAGGGAACGAACCTTCCCAACGTTTCCGGACCACATACAAATCACTCACCACAGAACAGAGAGCCCTGCACGCAACTGGAAAGCGGGAACCAAAATCTTTTACATAAAAAGTCTACTGTCGCTAGACAGCGAAGAGAAGTAAAGCACACATCTCTGATGGACACCTCATGTCCTCGAGAGATTCAACCACCACCCTGTCCCCCTAGCATCGTCAAGCACAAGAGTGGAAAATGAATCCAAGAATATCAGAGGGACACACAGAAGATGTCACTACTCGCCGCAACTTTCCGCACAGACCTCCAATTGTGTTCTCAGACAGTTTATCGAAACAACATGCTCCTGTCATCGGGAGTGGCATGAAGACGTCATCCTTGCTACGACTAGCCGTCCATGCACGGTTCTTCTCTTCCTCACTGTCTCCCTCACTCATAACTGCCCAAAATACCATCATAGCATTTACTCCTGGAAAGAAGGGGGGGAGGGAAGGGAAGGCCCGATGCATTTGACAATAAACGACCAGAAGCGAAGAAGCACGCATCGAAAACTCACAGGCCGCAGAGAAGGGGGGAAGGGAAGGCCCGGTACATTTTACAATGAACGACCAGAAGGGGGAAGAAGCACACATTGAAAACTCACAGGCCGCAGACCGTCATACTCAGCAAGCTGTAGAGAGTCGTCTGTTTTGTTTTGTTTTTCGATGCCGATCGATGATCTGCTGAACGCCATGGGCAAGAAAGAAGGTGCCCCGCTACGCAACTGAGCCCTGCTACGGCTATATGGCAGCAATGTGCAAAAAAAGGGGGATGCAGAGAGTCGCTTGGTCAGCTGTACCATTGAATAAAGCTTCAGGTAGTCTCACAGTGAGCATGCTAGCAGCTCATCCTCCTCAAACCGTGTGTCTTGCGATCAAGTAGGAGATGAGAATCCGAGGTCTTCAGCACACCACCACCTTTCAGGACAGAACCGGAACTCGTAGACCCCCCCCTCCTCCCTGCCCGCCCCCCGCCTCCCCCCTCTCCCTCTTCTCAGTGATCCTTTGACATTTGCTGGTCAGTAGTTCATTTATGGGTACAGAGTCGCTAAATCGCCGTGCTTAGAAGGGTTGCACGTAATCAGTCCACTTGCAGTCAGAGACCTCCAATCGGAACTGCTGCCTTACAGATTGATTGATTACACCACTCTTTTCCCAACAAAAGAGTGCTCACTTGATAAGAAATTTCCAAATCTCCCTCACCCTGTCTGCCTAGATTACACTGAAGAGTCTTATATAGCATGAATGGCAAGCGAAACAAGATACAACGGGGCGGGAGACAAATAGGTAAGAACAGGGAAAACAGGGGTTAGGCACATAAAAAGTTTGAAACTCAGAAGGCCATCACTCAGCCTTCCTGTTGGTGCATGCTGATCTGAATGTAGACGGGATGCCAACCCAACAAGAATGTGCATGCGAGATTGCCACAAAAAAATGTAGGTAGTTAGGACGACGAGCAAACACACAAAACCGTCTCTCAAAGTTTCTCGTAGCATACATCACCCCTGGACATGTATACCACCATTATGAGGGCTGCACACACACACACACACACACACACACACACACACACACACACACACACACACACACTACAGTCACATACTAGTACAATGTTTTGAATCTACCTCAGAAACACTAGCCCACAGGAACTTCATCGATCCTCTTCCGCCTAAGCCAGTAGAACATCGAGACAGAGCAAGTTGATGCCGCACGTGCTAGTGTTGGAAATGTACACATAGCGAACCAATCGTCACAATGTCGAGCAGAAGCCCTGGAGGACCATGACGAGTGACGATGAGATTAGCTAGCGCGCCATGACTACGTCTTTGACACTCCTGCTGGCAACTCAAGGAGCACGGCAGCGGCAGCAGCAGCAGGAGCGAAATTCAGGCGGGGGCTCCCAAGGATGCTTTCAAGAAGACTGCATCCAAAAAATGTGCAAGTCCTGGATTGCTTGTGGCAGCGCTTGCAGCATTCATGGGCTACGAAGCCGCATTGTCGTCCCCTCATATACACAACCAACCCTTCGTTAATCAACACAGATGTCTTATGAGGGAAGACGGCAAACCTGCTCCTTCTCCTCCTCCAATGCAAATGGACTTCAAATAGCTTTGCAGCAGGCAGAGATCTTTGGAAAAAAGACCAGCTCTTCTAGAAAGCAATGATGAATAATGCGCATCGTATGGGCCAGATGCCTTGGGAGTGAAATAGGGCACATCTTACATCTTACAAGCAAGGTGCGTAGCAGAAAATGCGAAAGCATACACACCTGCAAG